CGAGAAGAAAGAAAAAGGGTCGCCCTAACAACACACGTATTCAAACCGAAATGGATACGACGAACAAAATGGTGTAATTATATAGTTCATGCTGTTAGCCAGGACACACTCCTATAACTGTCCCAATGTTGGAGCAAACTCCACAACATAATTATTGAATCCACTTTTAGTCCTACTTTTGATATGTAATTCATTTTATGTATATTGAAAAAAATGTTCTTTTCATAATGATTATAACTTTCAATTACAACAATTAAAACAACAACACGAAAAACAAATAAAACGACTAAACAACATATCTATGCGATTACAACCATAAAAAAATATCGTCTGAACTATGCACCATAATATGACAATCGCTGTCAATTTTAACTGATCCCAGACACGATGCTCTCCATTACTGTTGAACACTATAAAAACCTTTCAATACTTCTGATCTTTTCACGTATCCATCTAACCAACATATCAAGTTTCTCTAAAGATGCTCGAAAGTATTAGCGTTGCAAAGTCAGATCTCATTGGAGACTTTACTGCTGAATAAATTAAATTAATATTTCTTTTAATAATATAAGACATGTTGTGAATCTTGTTGTGAATTACAATAAAATTCAATATCAATTTGTGAGGTAAAGAACAATATCAACCAAAATAAATGGTCTTCAGCAATAATAATCCGTATACATATAATATAACAGAATAAGGCAAGAAAAAACCAAAGGTTTGTTTACCCAGTTCGATCAAACGATCTACTCTGGGGGAGAGAGCAACTCTCCAATTCACTATACTTAGAAAGTTGTTACAAGAGATTACAGATGAGTTATAAGAAAATAGCCTTCGCCTTCAAGTTCCCAAGAACAACCCTGAAGGCGCCCAAGAACAACCCTATTTTTTACCCAAGTGTTTCCCTATCTCTCGAACTCTCAATATATGAATCACTCAAACCCAAGGTGTAATCCAAGGTTTTCTTTGTGTATAGCTGAAATCCTATGCTATGCCTTTAAACCCTTACTCTCCCTTGTTGGTGAAAACTCTAAAATTGCCACACACCAAACATATAAGAGATACATATTTATAATAGCAAATACCCAACAAGCAAAGCCTAAAATCACATAGATCGACGGACCGAATCGAAAAAGCCCAAAACTCGAAAACATCATTCATCGTACGAACAACACTATTCACCGTACGGATATCACTATTCATCCGTACAGATAACACTATTCGCCGTATGAACGATACTATTCACCGACCGATCATTTTTCTCGACTTTTTGTCCGATTTTCTTAAACTTCTGACTTTTGTGATAAATGCAATCTCCAAAATATGTTTTCTTTCTCTTCATCAACAAAAGTTTTAAGGCACATTTACAAAAATCTCCACCTTGACTTTAAACCGTGTTGATATCGATCAACAATATTGCTGCTCTCTACCAAGTTGAAACTTTAATCAATAACTTTGATCAAATTCAAGCAACCCTTGAATTTTGATCTTGCAACTTGCATCCACTTGTTTCCAATTACCCTTTTCTGCCTAGGTAATTTAAAAAGCATACAAGTATGATTTTTCAACCACCCTTGACTCCACCTATTTTCAAATGCCTCCTTGAAGGTTTTTCTTCTTTTATTTTGCAGTCATTCAGCCATATTAAAAACATAATATCCAAGGCTAGCATAGCCGTCCTTTTGAGATGCTACAATAACCATCCTTACCTTATCATGAGTCAAATGATAATCAGAGATCTCTGTAACCGTTCCCTCACTATTGCTAGCATCCATAGTAGGAAACTCCACCTCAAACTGAGTTTTCTTTGCTATAGTTTCTCACAGATTTCTCCCTTGGTTTTCACTATTCTTCTTCTGAAGAAATTCTCTACCAACCAACTAAGTTGTTTTAACCTCAGCTCTTCCCAAAAAACTCAATAACAACTCAGCGGTAACATGCATTTTTATTCCTTGATTTCTGCAAAATTCATTGTACTCCTCTGAAACTTTCTCAAGGCATTCATAACGCCTTAAACTCAATTCACATAGCTCTTCCTTGTCATGAAAGCCTCCACTAGTTAACGATGAATGAATAATAACATTTGAACCTTCTAAAATATATATATACCATATATTTTATACCCTTTAGCAATAATCAACTCATCACGCGAAATCTTGAACACTCCATGTTCAACTCTAGTACAATAACCTAGATCATCAAACATACTTATAAATAACAAATTTCGTTTGAGTTCTGGAACATACTTCACATTGTGAATAAGAAGTTCACGATCATTAAACATTTTAAATCTGACCGTACCAATACCATGTACCTTGCATGCCTTATTATTACCAAGGCGAACTACTCCACCTTGCACCATCTTCAAAGTTTAAAAGTATTTTATTCTTGGACACATGTGATAAGAGCAACCTGAGTCAATGACCCAACTATCTTCAGTTTCCAAACTCGATAATACTAGTGCTTCGGCATCCTCATAAATTTCCTCACCCAATGTAACTATAGCTTGAACAAAATCTTCATTGACCTTTCTTTCAGGACAATCCCTTTTAAAGTAACAGATTTTTTGACAATTAAAACATTTTATCTTTGACTTGTCAGACCTCTTTGATTTGAACATCTCTTTACGCTCACCTCCTCCTCTTGACACATTTAAGCCTTCACCACTATCTTCAATCTTCAAATCTTTCGACTTTGAAATTTTTTTAAATTTTACCGCCGTCTAGAATTCATCCAAAGTAATAGTACCTTCCTTACCATAAAGAAGGGCATCCTTAAAATGCTCAAAGGATTTTGGTAATGAACTCAACAGGAGAAAATCCTTGTTCTCATCATCAATCTTCACTTCAATATTCTCAAGATCATCGATAATCTTGCGAAATTCTATGAGCTGCTCAACTATGGATTTGCTCTCCACCATTCGGAATGAATATAGTTGTTGTTTCAGATACAACCCGTGAGTCAAAGACTTTGTCATATACAATGATTCAAGTTTTGCCCACATAGCAACCACACTTTGCTCCCTGGCGACTTCTCTTAGAACTTTATCCCCGAGGCACAAGATAATGGCACTCCTGGCCTTATCCACCATCTCGGTCTTCGGTAACTGTGTAAGCCCTGCAGACATCAATTTTTCACTCTTCAAAGCATCGATACACTTTTCTTGATTAAAAATGCTTACATCTTAATTTTCCACAACCGGAAGTCGTTGTTACCGAAAAATTTCTTGATTTACCATCTACTAACCATGGTGCTCACTTATCAACATTATCTCTTTGCTCCACGCTCACAACACCACTTGTTGTGAATCTTGTTGTGAATTACGACAACATTCAATATTAATTTGTGAGGCAAAGAACAATAGCAACCAAAATAAATGGTCTTCAACAATAATAATCTGTAGACAGATAATATAATAGAATAAGGCAAGAAAAAACTAAATATTTGTTTACCCAGTTCGATCAAACGATATACTCTGGAGGAGAGAGTAACTCTCCAATTCATTATACTCATAAAGTTGTTACAAGAGATTACAAATGAGTTACAAGAAAACAACTTTCGCCTTCAGGTTTCCAAGAACAACCCTGAAGGCGCCCAAAAACAACCTTATTTTTTACCCAAGTATTTCCCTATCTCTGCAACTCTCAATATATGAATCACTCAAACCCAATATGTAATTCAAGATTTTCTTTGTGCATAGCTGAAATCTTATGCTATGCCTTTAAACCCTTACTCTCCCTTGTTGGTGAAAACTCTAAGATTGTCACACACCAAACATATAAGAGATACATATTTATAATAGCAAATACCCAACAAACAAATCCCAAAATCACATGGATCCATGGACCGAATCAAAAAAGCCCGAAAACTCAAAAACACCATTCATCGTACGGACATCACTATTCACCGTACGGACGTCACTATTCATCCGTACAGATAACACTATTCTCCATACGGGCGACACTATTCACCGACCGATTTTTTTCTCGACTTTTCGTCCGATTTTCGCGGTAAATGCAATCTCTAAAATATGTTTTCTTTCTCTTTATCAACAGAGGTTTTAAGGCACATTTTACAACAAGACATTTCAAAGAAAAATTTGAGAGAATTAAAAGATTGGTGGAAAATGGTGGGAGGTAATGATCTATTTATAAAAAAAAACAATACAACATATCGGCCAAGAGAAATGACATATCCTTCTAATGCTTGCATGCTCGTGTCACTGCCATTGACATGACACACAAGCATGTGCCACAGACATTGACTATTTATACCAATTAGAGTGCATGCGCCACGGACAGTGAGACATCTTCTATGGGACAAAATATAGTTAGTTTGATAAATTTTTTGAAAAATAGTTATTTGAGTATTTTAAAAAAAAACTGGATATTAAAATTAATATTTTAATATTTTAATTACTTAAAGTTAAAATTTTTATATTAATGGATATCAAAATTAATTTTTTAATATAAAAAAAAATAAATTAAAAAACTTTTAAAATTAAAAAAAATTATTTTTAAAAAAATAAAAAAATGTCTATTTTTAAGAGTTAAAACAAACGATCCTATAATCCCATCAATTATGAGATTTTTATCTTGTTTTTTATGAGATTTGTTTATTACTATAAAAGATAAGAATCGAAAAATTAGGAAAAAAACTTCTTAGTGGACACAAAATTTGTCCCTACTTAATAACACCGTGTGTAGACTTTATTCACACTCCATTTTCTTTTTCGTATATCTTTATTATATTTTTAAAATAAAAAAACAGTCCAATTAAAAAAAACAAGTAAAACAAACCCAACAATGTGATTAACAAACTCATCATTTATATTCCCCTAGTGATTTTCTTCTTTATTAATATATTTTAATTTGTCATTTTCTCCATCGTCATCATCATCATATAAATATAATAACTAGTTGAGGTTTAGAATTTTCTTTTAAATACTAATTCAACCATATCATAGAGAAATAGAGAGAGAGAGAGAAGGAGAGAGAAAGATGGCTGAGTTGCAGAAATCATTAGCATCATTCAGGAGACAAGGCTCGTCAGGATTGGTTTGGGATGACAAGTTCCTGTCTGGTCTAAATCAGAACCAACAACAACAACAAGAAGAGAGTAACACCGTTGGATCAAGTGCCACGTTGGATAGAAGTAGATCAGCTGGAGCACAACCATATCGGACGGTCAACGTTTCACCACCATCGAAGGACCCACCTTCTCCTAAGGTAGCAACCTGTGGTTTTTGTGGTTTCTTTCGGGAATCAAATAAACCAAAATCTGGAAAAAAAAGATGATGGTAATTCTTCAACCTGTATGTAAATTAGTGCTTGATCATGATGTTTATCCTATATAGTAATTGTTTGTCTCGGTTTCAATTTTGTGTTAATTATTTCGGATTGTTATTTGTAAATTTATAGAACATGTGAAAATATGGGTGTTGTGTAATAAGGTTTGCGCAAATTTGGTGTGAAACCAATGGTTTTTCAAAACAACTTTTTAGTTTTTCGTCTCTTTGAATATTTCTGTGGATAATTTTTTTTTTTCAATTTGAATTTCAATTAGCCTTTCAAAGCCAAATTCGCATGTTTAGCTATTTGTTTTTCAACGTGCTTTTTGTTAGAAATTTATTCATAGGAATATTCAGAAAAATTCAATATATTTCGAGTTTACACAAAAAGAAGATAAAAATTCGAATGTAGAAAAGAAATAAATTTGAGACTAAACAATAAAAAAGAGAGTTTGAAATTGCATTTTTTTTCTTATGAATACAGAACAATCTACTTATATACTAAATAATGTAGTTTTATAAAGTTGCGACCCTTGATAAAAACATCATTTCCCTCGAGTATTGCAACTCTTCCCATTACGTGTTGCACCTTTTTACTAAGTATTACAACTATTCAAATTAAAAAATAACGAACCAGAATAACACAACCATCACCACTAGTCGGTTGTCAGATCACCGCCGCACATGTCGCAAGTAGCTTAATTGCTCTGATGCAAATGCCACATATAAGCCTCCATTAGCACATCTACGCTCACGCCCTCGATCACGAAGCCGAAACCGGTAGGCGAGGGAAAGTGTGAAGGCAGCAAGTGGCATGGAGACTTGGGACCACCACACCCATCTATGTGACACTCTCTCCTCTTTAACTCCTTAATGAGTTAATAAATGCAACTATATATAAGAAGCATAACAATGAGTTAAAATTTCAATGCGAGACTCTTTCCTACACATTGAATGCTCACTTACTCACTTGCAAGATGTATGTTATTATTGGAACACAATAATAGTTATGTGTTTAATTAGTCTCTTCATTAGTTAATAATTACAACAATCATCCACTTGTTCTAATAATGATAAAATCAATTTTAGAAAAGAAAACAAAGAATGATAATTCAATTAAGTATCTTTCAATTTGAACTTAAACTTATTAAAGACAACACAAAATATAATCAGAATTTCGGTAGAAAAGCTTTGAACATGTTATTCCTTGTGATTAGATCGGCGTTACTTTACAGACACTCTTTAATGGTTCTCCGCCTATATCTCTCGTCTAGCACTCTTTATGGCCATGTGTTTTTCATGTCTTATTAGTTTACTGTGAAAGAAACTCCAACTCTCACTTTACTTGAGATACATATTCTCAACATTGAACTTCATTAAAAGTTTGAAAAAACTCGACCCTCCCAATGTAATAGTCAACATTATTAAATAATGTTGTGCAAACATCAAAATCAATACTTTGTTCTTACCTATTGAATCTGAGGTTAATGTTTTCTTAATGTTATATTGTGTTGTTACCATTGTTGAAATTCTTACTCAAAAAGTTTCAATATCATACCTCTCGAGGTAGTCATTACTAAATCTCTCGCCACTGGTTTTTGTAAATGGATCAACTAAACTATAGATTGAATGTATATATGTGAGTGAACTGATTCCATCTTTAATCAATTTTTTCACGAAGAAATGTCTAAGGCTTATGTGTGTAGACTTTCCCTTATACACTTTGCTATATGCTCTACCTAAAGTGGTTTGACTATATGTATCAACACCTTTGAAATATTGTTTTTACATAATGGCTACCAACAGAAGGTCCCTTAACCATTCAACTTCTTGACCAAAACAAACTTTGATTTCATGGTTGAGAGAGTGATACATGTTTGTTTCTCCCTCTTCTAAGAAATTGCACCTCCACCTAGTATAAATATCCACCTTATTGTAGAATTATGATCCCCAACATTCGATATCCAACTTGCATCGATATATCCTTCTAATATGACCTACCATGATGGAGGTCAAGCTTTTTTATTTTCAAAAGATAATAAAAAATCCTTGTGATGGTATTCCAATGCTCACCATTTGGAATGATAGTAAGTCTACTCATTTTACTAAATGCAAATCTTATATCGGGTCTAGTACATTGCATAAAATGCATTAGACAACTAATTGCACTTGCATATTCTAATTGAGATACAACCTTTCCATCATTTTTTGAAGCTTGACACTAGGATAAAATGGATTATTCACTTCCTTGAAACGTAAGTGTTTGAACTTATCAAACACTTTCTCAACGTAGTGTGTTTGATTAAGTTCAAAACCCCCAATATTTAACTTTACTTTGATCCTCAAGATAATAACAACAAATCCAAGATCTTTCATATGGAGTGTGGAAGTTAGAAATCTCTTTTTTTTTTTAAATACCATTCATCTAATTGCTAATGATTAACATGTCATCATAATATAGACAAAGGAATATCACATTGTTCTTACGCACCTTTGTGTAAAAACATTTGTAACAAGAATTAGAAATAAATTCATTTGAAAGTACGACATAGTCAAACTTTTGATGCCATTGTTTGGTGTATGTTTTAATCCGTACAAGGATTTGAAAAGCTTTTACACCTTTTGTTCATTAGCAGGAAGCACATAACCTTGTAGTTTCTCAATGTAAATCTTCTCATTGAGGTACCCATTTAGAAATTTATTTTTGACATCCATTTGATGAACTATAAGATCATACAAAGAAGCTAAAGCAAACAACACTCTAATTGTCGATGATATTGCTACTAGTGCATATGTGTAGAAATAATCAACACATTCCTTTTGTCTAAAATCCTTGGCTACTAATATAACCTTGTAGGTGTTTAGTGTACCATCACTATGCTACTTCCTTCTAAAAAACCATTTGTGTCCAATGGGTATGATCCTTTAGGTAGATCGACAAGCTCCCAAGTGTGGTTTGCCATTATTGAATGCACTTCGTCTTAGATAACATCCTTCCAAAATAATAGTCCTTTGATGTTACTGTCTTCTTATAAGTTTTAGGATCATCTTCCACTTGAAGAATAATAGGAATCTTAAAAACAAAATTCTCATTGTTTCATTCTAGTAGATAAAAATAAATAAGTCAAGAATCAATTTTGTTCACTTCTAAATCCTTAACCTGTCGAAATCTCTTGCTTATCCTAAGCTCTGGTTGTGTTTCAACAATCCGTGAAGAACTTACAGACTGTGCTTCAACGATCTATGGAGAACCTTCCTAACGAGGTTCTTCATTTGGGAATCTTATATTCCTTGTCCTTAGTGATAATTTTCTCAAAGAATTCAACATCCCAGAATTCAATAATTACATTAGACTCTAAATTTAAAAGTCTATATTCTTTACTGTGAGGTGCATAACCTATAAAAGCATATTTGATCCCTCGAGGACCCAACTTAGTCCCTTTAGGATACATGCTCTTAAAATAAGCTACACAACCCCAAACTTCAAAATAGTCAATATTTGGCGCTCTTCCTTTCCATACCTCATATGGAAAAGTACATCTTTTCTTTAGTGGAATTGTATTCATTATATGACAAGCGAATAGAAAATGTTTACACTATAAATTTAATGAAAATTCATAATGCATTAACATGACATTGATCATTTCTTGATATGTCATATTCTTTTTTTGGCTACACCATTTTGTTGTCGTGTACAAGGTGTGAGACATTCATGTGTAATAGTATCATATTCTTCACAGTATGCATCAAATTCAGTAGAAACATATTCACCGCCCCTATCACTCCTAATAAATTTAATAATTCTAAATTGATTTTCTATTTCCGGTTTAAATATTTTAAATTCATTAAAGTCATCATCTATATGCTTTAAAATATTTTCAATTCAACACATATTTCACATATTTTAAAATTATTAACATCACATAAAACTAAATCAGATTTAAATAATCTTTTCATAATGTTAATACCAATATGAGCTAATCTACTATGCCATAAAGAAATGTATTCAATCATTAAAGTAGGAAAATAACATTTATTAATATTGTTATCAAAAGTACAAAGTTAAACATTCGCTCAACGGAATAACCATTTCCCTTAAATACACCATTACGAGTCAAGATTAACTTGCCCGATTCTTACAAATGTTTAATATCCGATTTTTTCAAAAGATCCTTATTAACAAGGTTCCTATTCATTCCAGGAATAAGAAGTACAATAATAAGAGTCACTTTTTCCCCTAAAATTGAAGTTGAGTTCCACGAATTCCATTCTTACGATCCTCGAACGTTCTTCATTTTCCATTTGAACCTCTTGTCCATCAGTGACTTCATAATAGATTTTGAATATTGTTGTGTCATAGGAAAGATGGACATTAGCACAAGTATCATACCATCATCCTTTCACCTTGCCTTTGATTGCATAATTTCGCTCACAAACAATTATGTATCATCGACTAGAACAACATTTGCCTTGTTATGGGACTTATTGTTCTTGCAACCTCGAGCATAATGACCGTATTTTCTATACACATAACAACTGCTTTTGGGGCCCTTTGATTCACCATAATTATTGAATTTATTTTGATCCTTCTTAGGAGCAAGATATTTCTTCTTAACATTTTTTTTCTTCTTCTTCCCTTTTGTGCTCACCGCAATGGCCTTAGAATATCCAGCAACCTCAGATTTGTCTCTATCTTTCGATTGTTCTTCGATTTGAAGATATTTTTAGTCTTGGTCCAATGAGAAGTCCTCGGAATTATGAAGCAACTTCTTCTGATATCTTTTTCAGGAAGATGACTATTTCACAATAATTGAGCCAACTTGAAAAACTTCAAGAATACCGATCTTCACAGACCTTAGTTTATTACAAGAACTTGTAACTCATGCACTTGTGCCAGTATAGGATTTTAATCCAACATTTTAAAATTGAAATACTTTAAAATTTAAAACTTTTTAGTACCTTCCTCATCAACACAAAATTTGAACTCGAATGCCTTCCAAGTTTCCC